TAAACGATTAATATATATACTGTAATCTCTGTTTTCATTAGTACCGATTCATTGGTTAATTTAATTAAAATACTGTATAATAATAATGATAATAATAATAATAAATCTATTGACTTAAGTGAATCCATCTGTTTACAATCGAATTATAGTAGTAAAGAAAGAAATATAGAAATAACACCTTCAACAAAACTGAATGGCCAAAACGTAAATCGAGATTCTGTTTAATATATAATAACAGTCGAAATATCAAAGTTGACAAAAAGAAAATAAAGTAAGTGAACAATAATGATAATGTGCAGTTCTAAAGAAATGAAACAAGTATTTGAATATAATGTAACAATAAATGAAGCAACTCAACTAACAAACACAACAATAGTGAATTAAAGTATTCAGTAAGAAAGAAAACCAGTTATGGAACGAATATTCAAATGAAATTTCAACTATGTTTAAAAACCATCATCTATTGCCTTTAATTTCCATAGCCTTTAATGTACAATCTGAACTGATCATTGTTACTTCTCCAGAAGTAGAACAATATCATCGAAATGTCGGAGTTTCGCTTCATCTAATGCACTTGTACCCCATATTGTTCGACATTTTGGATCAACACCAGCACCGTATTCCAGTTCTGTTTCTTCGACATTGGTCTTTTTATCGTGAGGGTTTTCCTCATTATATATTGGTGAGATGAGAAATTTGATGGAATTCAATTGCCGATGTGTAACAGCTACATGTAATGCTGAGCGACCTTCTTCATCCATATTCTTTTATGAATAGAAAGGCAAGCGTATAATTCCATATGTTTTTATGAAAAACAGCAATAATAATGAATATGACAATAAAAAAATGGTTACTCCATGAACACATTACTGCTGATGAATATAAATAAAGTTTATGAAATATAACATTTTCTACTCACTTAGTAACAGTGTAACTATCCATGTAATATGAAACTCACCTTCATATCCTTCCAAACAAATGGATAAGTAGGATAGTGAAAAATGTGAACGAACATATTATCATCATTAAGGTGGAAACAATAAAGAGGATTGTTAAATTAAAGTAGGTTTATCAGAAGCAGGCTTTGTGGATATTCTAATGATTGACTCATGAATTCAGCTATTAAAACAGGTTTATTTACTTTCGCAGGCTAGTTATCCAGTTACTAATAATATATTAAGTAGTATAGAGTATAAAGACTTATTTCATAGGTGTGTATCTTACAAACAACAATTATTATTATTATTATTATTATTATTATTATTATTATTATTATTATTATTATTATTATTAATGGCTTTATTCAATATTATATTTTGGTACAATATAGGATTCTCAGCACGGGGTATTTCAACAAGATGCTTACGCAACAAAAAAACAGTAACAAATACAAAGAAAAAATAAAAAAAGGTTTTAAAGAAAACTCGAAAAACTGTACAACTTTTAAAATTAAAGACAGGTTAAGAATGCAGGTTATTGACTAGGTTAATTATAACAACCTGTTCGTCACACAGTATATTTACTAGGCAAGGTATTACAGAACTTTTATACTTTTGCTGGCGTGCATGGATTTTAATGTAATTACGTCTCGTTCTACCAGAAGATATACAAGGAGAAAGATAAGACTGAAGGGAATGGCTAGTATCTGATAAAATAACACCTGCCAGGAGTTTGCATGACTTTAGATGTTTATCCACAACCATACTAATTATGACCTCGAAAGATTCGCCACACATCTTGCTAACTGCCTTCACCACTCTCCGCAATATAGCAAAGTCTTTTCTCAAAAGCCCGAGAAAGAATAATGGAGAACAGTAAAGAATAATAGGTAATATGCAAGAATTGACAAATTGTAAGAGTAAATAACGAGTAATCACGAGAGCATGCAATCTCTTTATGTATGAAGTCAGACGGAAAACCTTCTTCGATAACAATAAAACGTGGGAAGACCAAGAGAGATCGGAGGAAAAAGTGACACCAAGATAATTGACCTGCGACACTGTATTTATCAAACATTCTCCAATGTACAAGCATCATGGGATCTCAAAATGGTGTTTAGATTCCGTTCATGTCTCATGCTAAAGTTAACAGATTGACATTTAGACGGATTAAGTATGAGACCATTACCAACAGACCAACAATCAATACGAGACAAAAACTCATTCATTTCTATGGGATGTAAAGAGGAAGAGATAGGCATACATATAGTGAGATCATCCGCATATTTCACAAAAGTGTTTTTTGTGGAAGATGGCAGATCATGCAGAAAAGAGAAAAGAAGAGGTGAAAGAACAGCTCCTTGTGGTACACCTTCATGAGACAGTAGAGATTGAACACTTTCTTCCAAATACAGTGTACTGTTCCCTTCCAGAGAGGTAGGAACATAGCCAGTTGGTTATCCAGCTGTCAGTGTTGACTCTGATTAACTTGTTAAGCAAACGTTGTCTTGGTATAGAATCAAAAGCTGAAGTATAGTCCAGAAAAGCAAATCGAACATACTTCTTACCCTTTTCTAAGTTGAACACTATATTGTGATGCAGAACAGCAACAGCACTAAAGTGCTTCTTTTGCGTCTGTAAGCAAACTGATATGGATCAATATGCTCTTTTATCGCGTGCTGAAGTGAAAGTATTAATAGTTTTTCCATTGTTTTGAGGAAGAGTGAAGGTATTGCAATAGGTCTAAATTTTACATTCATTATCATCAGATGCTTTCTTGGGTACAGGAATTATCTTCATCTTTCTCCACATTTTCGGTATGAGATTAAATGAGAAGGATCTGTTAAAGATAGTTGTGAACGGATAACATAGGACGTCAGCACACTTTTTAAAAAGGATGTTTGGGATACCATCAGGTCCCGAACATCTAGATGAATTAAGCGACTGGATACATCTTCGTACATCATTTTCAGTGGAAGTAGGAACCTGTGGATAAAGGGAGCATCACATCAGATGACTGACGTACAAAAGACTTATTTAAGTCACAAACATTCAGCTGGTTATCGCTTCTAAACTTTCTGTCACCTGTAAGTTCTTTAAAGAGTTTCCACATACTTGGAGAGTTTTTGCAAGACAAGAGTTTTTGAGTAAACATACAGTTGAGACGTCTAATCTCTAGGTTTATCAGACCATTTAGCTTACGAACTTCATTAGAGTTCTTCTCCTTGTACATTCTTTCTTTCATCCTCCGTAGTCGTTTTAGTTGTGTAGATGTAAGTCGATCAAAACTTACAAAAATGGTTTCAGTGGGACAACAAATATCAAAACAAAATTTAAGGTAACAAGTGATAATATCAGTAGGGATTTCCAGTGAGTCATCTGTAAACACTTCCCAGATAGTCGTATGAAACATGTTTTTCAGATGTCGGATATTTTCTTCTGAGTAATTCCTATATTTGACTTTCTTGGTTTGATGTACGAGTGTACTCTTCCCAGACTTTCCATATACTTTAGGTAGAACACAAATTATTCAGTGATCCGAGCTAGACAATGGAGCACGTTTACGAGTCGCATATATACCCACATCATTAATGAAGACGAAGTCTAAATGAGCATCCAAACGAGTAGGAAAATCTACTACATTTTGGTGACTTAGTGAAGGAAGCTACAGTTACATGAATTGAAATCACCACATACAAATGAAAATGAATCACTGAAGGCAGCAACAGCGAACTCAGTGAATTCATCCGATAACGCAGATGATGTGCAGTCTGGAGTCACGTAGATATTGGTGACACAAACATATTTGTATTTATTCAGATGTTTTGGACGACATCTTAGAGCCAGACAGTCGATAGAGTCATTTGAAAACTTGAAACACACAAACGAAGATCGACACCAGATTATGTTTACAAACGTAGCTACACCGTCACCACACCTCTTTTTATTGTTTGATCGATCCTGACGATAAATTTTGAAATCACGTAGTGATACTACGCAGTCATCCAGTAAATCATTTAACCAAGATTCTTGAATTGTAATGACACCACAATTACGATACATATTTTGACTTAGTAGGAATTGCAGATAGTCCACTTTGTTGATTAGTGATCGGCAGTTAGAATTCAGCAGCTCGGGAATCGACATACAATTAATTTTCATTCTCTTTAACGCATATTGCCAACCACCACGATGTCTTTTATAGTACTTTTTTGTAGCTTGCGCAGCGAAAGTTCGTAGGCTTTTCATAAAAGCGCTTGAATAGGTTATGCGATTAATGGACATAATTGCAAGTTAAAACAAATGAAAAAACAGATAACTTGTTGAAATAATTAGATGACAGAAACAGGTAGTCCAGATATTCAAGCAGGCCGCCAAATACTTATTATCGCTTCATATCCACTTTATCACAACAGTAAAGAGTCACTCATACCATTCCCTAAATGCTTGCCATTGCACCTGACTAAGTGATTAGCAATGATCGACAAGTCCATGCCATGTAAAAATATCTTGATATTTTTAGAAATTGCTTTTTGGTAATAACTTATTATAGTGACTGATCTTATGAAGTGTATATCTTCCTATTTTTAAATCATCGGTTTAAAGTACATGCATTTACACATTTGGTAATAATGAAATTTATATTTCTTCCAACCTCAGTACTCTCAACACTCTAAAATACACATGGAAATTTAAAGTGGTTAATGAGATTGTTCAGCCACATTGAAATACAGAAGAATACTCAATTAAGGAATTCATCAACGACAAATTGATTGTGCAGAAAAATCTTTAAATATTTCAATTCTCCAAAGCAATTTGATAGATGAATGTTTGCATCATTCCACAACTGCCTAATTCGAAGTAACATATAATGAACTGCTTAAATATCACAAGATGATCCTGAGTGCAAGTTACACTGAGAGTACCACGTTTTTGTAAGTAGTTTTTAATAAGACTTCTTCCTTCATTATAACCCTCTACGTTTTGTTAACCAAACAATTAAAGACTTATTACTACTAACACTAGCTCATTATGTCTGCATAATAAAACGAAATGACTTACATAAAATGAATATCCACATAATTGATATAAGCGTAACCTTTGAATATCACCATCTGAAACTGCTTGATGAACCAATTTAGTGACAAGTTGACTCTCAGAATTTAATACAGCACCAACATCTAATAGTAACTGTACTAATCCAGAAGATAGCATTAGACTATTTAAAGCACAAAGAAGTGGGGTATATCCACTTTTATCTGCAATATGAACTGATACACCACATTCTAATAAATATTTTGTCGCTGAAATATGACCATATAAAGCTGATTTATGCAGTGGTGTGCATCCTTCAGTGTCAAATAACTGAAAACAAGAAAATCAACAATTAGAGATTGATACTTTTCAATGTGTACCAGTGAACAACTCGGTTTCATTGATAAGTTCCAATTATTTACTAATTTAATTTTGAGTTAAAGTTTAAATCTATGGAACGTAAAGACCAGACTTCAAACTTTAAACAAATTGAGAAACAATTTAAGAATTTTTCCAAGTTTATCATTTATGTGTTTTAGTAGCAGGCAAATCTTCTTTGTCCAAAGGGTTTCAATCAGTATTAATCACAAAAATATGATACTTTTTACTACATAGTAATAAATTTGCACGGAAACACCTATGTTAAAGGAAAGTAAGTGCAAATAAAATATACTAAAGTACCATTAGTTTCATTTAATCTCTTTCAAAGGAGCTTGTTCAGAAAAGTGTTAGGATAACCTAATGAAAATCGTTCGACAGACAGATCGGGACTAAGTAAGAGTGGATCTCTACAGTATTCATTCAATGTTCAACATTGGAATTTCGTTGCAGTTTATGGTTAAAAAATTGAGTGCTCCTAAATGCGTCAAAAACAGATCAGTTGCTATGTGCATTACTGTTTTTATATTTTCCTTCGTGTCATGTTAACAGAAATGTTTTATTTCTTGGCGAACTTAAATTCGCTGCTTATTAAAAATAGTTCACTGTCTTAACTCTAACGTTGTGGGGTGACATTATTTATCATTCATATGCTAACGTCAATGTATTCACCTTTAGTTTTACTATTAAAGAAACACAAAACTTCGTTAAATCAGTTATTATTTTGAAATATGACAAATGGTTGGAGCTTTCAACTCAAGTATTCATATAAATACAATGGGAGTGAATGGATCAAATAGAAATTTAAATAAGTAAAAACATTTAATCTACACCAAGAGTTTCATATTATATTTGTCTTAACCAAAAATTATACCTTCGCCTTAAATAACATTCAAGAGCTTTTTTGATAAACGAGGAAATGCAGTGGTCTAGAGGTTAAGCGCTCGCGCGCGAGACTGATAGGTCCTGGGTTCGAATCTCGGGAGGCGGGGTGCCCTTTTCGCCTGCATGAATATCAATTAGCAGTCAAACACAATGACATTTCCTCGCTTATATCGATACACGTGGACAACTGCGGACACTCATTTGACTGGAAAAATGTGGAAATATCGGATGGAGGAAATTCCAAAAAAACCAGAGGATTTTTAGAAGCTTGGCACTCAGCGATCAACAAGCACATTGAAATCGATCAAATTTATCAACCAGTCAGGAAAATTATACACAAACATAGGCACAAAAATCAAACCGATTGGAGACACAACCAAAACAAAGAAGTAAACAATGATAAGTTTGAGGTCAACAAGAACCAATCAACATCGAAGTCTACAGGACAAACTGTGAACCACATATGGAGAAATTCGAACGCTTCACTTCTATCTGAAGTTTGTGCTGATGATATTGTTCAGAAAAACGGTGAAAGCTCCATGACCAAACCATCCAGCTTAGAGAACAAAACTCCATCAAAATTATTATAATATCCACAAAAGCCCTTCTGATATTAAATAAAGTTTTCACTACAATATTATAACATCAAGAACACAACTAAGGATGTGATACACACCTTCAGACAGCTAACTAAACGTAAAATATCTGTTATCACAAAACCAGGAAAATCTAAGATCACGATTATTACAGATGCGTCACATTATGAAAGAAAAATTATGCGTCATCTTCATGATGAACTATACAAACATTTCAGCAAATGAAGTGTTAACCGAAACCACATAAAGAATAAGGGCTGAAACAAGCGAAATGCTATGGACTATGGAAACTGAAACTAGAAAATTCATTATAGTTCGCTTTATTACTAAAAAGCTGAAAACCTTGGAGATCTTATGAGCTGACGAAAATCTCTAGAGAGAATATATCGTTAAGACCTGCAGTTAATCATACAAATTCGCCGATATGTATTCTTGCAAAATAACTCTCCACATTCCTAAATTATTTGCTAAAAAACTAAACTATTAAAATTATAATTCAAAGAAAGTTAAAAAGAAGATTAATGTAAATGGCATCAAAAATAATTAAATAATAAGTTTTTGTATGTTTGCTTTTCATTTACTAGTACACCTACTGAGATACTGTTAAATATTACGTTAGAATATTTATTATGAGATACTGATTTATAACTTGTATTTTCTACTAGATCTTTATCAATGAACATTTATGGTAGTTTGAATGTATTTCAAATAAAATGATTCCTATTCCTAACATACACAGGATTAACGACCGAAAACAACCATACAATACCTTGTGATCTTACTTATTTGCAAAAAGTTTTATCACAACCTTGAAAAAAATTCTAATCAGATTTTTGATGCAAGTTTAGAATTATTTACTTGTAGTCGTTGAGATTACTACAAATATAAAATACGCCCGATAACAATGAATTTGTTATTAATATCTGACAAATTGAGTGCAAAAGTTCATACGTTGTTGTAATAAAAGCCACTTTTAACGTACATACCTGAAAATGTTGAATTATTTATATTCTAAAAGAATCTTTTTCTCAAGTTCAGCCATATGTTTTATAGATTTTAGTGTAGGCATATGTATTTAACCGATAATCGGTGCTTATGAACAATCCTAATAATGTTGGTTAAGAAATACCTTGAAGAGATTATCTACAATTAGTCATAAATTTTTTAAAAAGTTTAATTTATCTCAACCGATAACAGAAACCTGAAACGTTTTACATCTAGTTTTGCTTAATTTGTATAGATAAAACAGTGAAACTTTTTGTTTCGAGTGTGATATATATAGGCTATATCACAATTGTAAGTCCGGTTATCTATTCCTGTGATCTCCTAGCTGATTCCCTGAAACAAAACAAGTTGCCTTAAGGTTGTGTGAATGTGTTGTTGAGTACGATAAAGCAAAAGACTGCATTTACCACTTACTGTCATCAATCTCCAAAAAAAAATATCTTATGTTAGTTGTACACATAAACTTCAGTTAGATGGATATTTTAAAAGTAATATTGATTTTCTTCGCATATGACAGTCAGAAGTATCAGTTTGCATTTACTTCCAAATCACTGTTGACAGTTCTAAGAAATACTAAGCCTAATTTGATACCTTTCTTGAATAAGATAATAACTTGGTTCATGCATTTTTGTAAAATAACTATATTATACTGTGAATTTTTAGTTATCATATATAAGTTCGAAAATCTTCGTGTCAATTCCTGTCTACTTGGAATTAAATGTTTATCTAGATATTTAAAGTAGAGTAATAGTAGAAGACAGAGAAGAAGAGGAGATAGAAAGATAACAAGAGTTTAAATAAGTAAATACTAGGGTGTAGTAATGATACAGCAAACCACTGATTAATATTATTCGTCATTTTGATTCTCTTTAAATATTCGGTATCCAGTCAACTTACAACGATAAAAATGTATCCCAAATTCGGCAACGTTTTACTCAGTCAGTCATTCATTTGTTCACTTATTTACTAATCAACAGGATTTGTCTAAGTAGGGGTATATTTTAGTAAAAACTGGTGTCCAACTCTACTTTAGCTAATTTATCTAAAAATATATAGGTATTCTGTTTTACAGAATAATTGAGATGAAAATACTCCCAGTAATATATTTTCTCTATTTTAAATAATTAAATAGTAAGATGTACCTGTAAATGTCCAATTATATGATACATTTCTTTTAAACATGACAAATTATTTGATGCAGCTGCACAACACGCAAGTGTCGGTACTATACGCTGAACCCACATTGAACCAATACCTTCAGAATCATCTAACGAAGCTGTTGAGAATAATTTGGCGAAATATATCATAAGATTTCTATCTTGATTTAAACAATTTATGTTATATAGTGATAAATTAGCTGCTCTAGAGTCTTCTCCTTCAACTGTCACTTCACCTCTCAAACTATTTAATAACATTGCACGTTTACAGGAATAATCTTTATTTTCTGTTTTACTCAATATATAGGCCAATTTGATAAGTGCTGCTTCAGTTGTCATATCCTATATTAACAATAAATATTATGATAAAAAATAAAATAAGGAGATATAGAATAAATTAGTTGACACTATGAATTATGTCTAAAATCTAATAAAATGTTAATTGTTCATATATATATACAAAATTACTCAGTGTCTTGGAAAAATATGGAAACTGTGCATTTAAAACATTATTAGCACATCTTCCTTCCGTTATCCTGTACGTGCTGCATGATTTTCCCGATTCTGTTGTTATTCCAACTGTTCTCTGTTCCCCTTCCCGTTCTTCTCGATTCAGCCGTCTGTTTGCAGGCATTCCAATTCCTTTTGGTGCTACACACTACATACATCTGCCAGCATTAGTGGCATCCACCTCATATGTATTAAAGGTTATCGTAGGATATTTCTATGTCAGTAACATATAGACCGTGAAAGCTTCGAAGAATTAACTAACACTGTATTCTTATCTCACCAGTATGGTCAAAAATAAACATTATATCTAATATGTTACCTGCCTATATATATCTTATTTAGAATATTATTAGTGGGAAACCAGTCGCATTCAGGTTATTACTCAGTTCCTGATGGGTTGAATCTCATTCCATTATTGTTATTATTATTTACGAAAATCAAATCTTAATAACTAAACGTTCTTTTGTACCTCAGAAAGTATTTGAAAATAACCCTTCCGCCACCATTATGAGTTGTCGGTAAGTGTATTAGTTGAATAATTACTCGTGCTTATTGTTGCAGCAAGGAACCCGTGTAAAGAATCAGAATACTCATACAATTGGCGGTTACCTGTTTTTACCGGGAAATTTTAAGAAAAATATGATTCACAAATACTGTCAAAAAAGCCATTGTCTCCAAGATACAAATTGCTAAGCCTAATTACATAAATAGTATATACTGCATTCAAGCCGGTACCGTGGTTTCAGATAAACTGTCCACTGGATAATATAGTTTTGCTTCCGTTTCCAGTTCTTTTTGGTTTATACCAACGTCATGATACATAAATATGATGATTTTTAAAAAGGAAACTTAATACAGTAAAATATGTTTTATTCAATAATAAACTAAGCAGATGAAAACGGGTTCATTTCAAGAAGCCTTCATTTAAACACACTAGGAACTCAATGAATGAACGTTGAGTTCATTTGAAATTGACTGGGTTAAAAAAATAGTCAAGCACACTACTAAGTTAAATTAACAGTGAAGGTTTACAGAAAACATTTAAATGAAATCAATTTGATTTATGTGTGGTCTGATATAGTGCTTATGCATACAACTTACATATCCTGGAGTTACACCATATTCATTGAGAACCATCCCAGTTGAATAAACTGCTTTAACGCCACCACGCCAACATTGTGTGACATTCACCATAAGTATACCACGATCAGAAGCTTCTTTTAGTGCATCCAGTAGGTCCTGACGGGAAGATGGAATATTACCAGCTCCATATGTCCGAAGAACAACTCCTAAAATTTGAATAATGTTAACAGTACCACAGATAGCCTATATGTATGTATATAGTAAATAAATATCCGTAACTTCATGATACCTGAATCTTTTCTCGAAATTGGTGAATCTCATTATAAGGGTGACATCTTAGGTACTAAAACGCGAACCTAAATATCTATTCATCAAATAATTTAGCTTACATTTGAACCATGCCAGAAAATACCTACCTCCTGCTTGAAGTTCACAAAACAATAGTAATTTACATCTAAAGATCTTAAATGACTAGGCTCAATATCAGTGCACTGTTGTTATATTATTTGACGCTTTCAACTCATCGTTTTTGTGTGTTCTTATATGAATAAATTATTTGCATTTATTTTTTCACTACCATTGGTATTATATTTCCAAATTCTTAGCCTTTCATCTTGTAAATTTGACCTTACTGTGTCAATTCAAAATGTACCAACGTGAACTGAAACACATTTGTAAAAAAGTCTACAATGCTCATGGTTGATTGACTTGATAGTAATCATTTAAAACTACATATTAACGACATAAAAAGTGTCAAATCTTTGTATTGTATCAGTAGAGTAAATAAAATCATATAAACAACAGAAGTACATAATACCCACTTGTATTTATAGAATAAACGTTTTTGATCTACACGAATACGGAAAAAGTGTCAAGACAAAAAAGCAGTTCGGCACATATTTACACATACATATACAAGCTGATACACTTAACAGTATGACATAATGTTTAAATTTATAATCGGTCATATATGAATAAAGAACTGTTAGTAAACAAATAAATATGTTCAGAAGGGGTTTTGTGCAGAATTTAGTAATTTCAGTAGTTGAAATCATGAGTCAATTGAAGCTAGACCATCATATGGAAGTTCATTCATTGCATTTATCTAATTTACCATTTTTTTCTACTTTCATTTCATTTAATAAAGTGTGTAAAAACGAAACTACTGATGCATTTATACCTAAAATTCACTTATTTTTGACTAAATAAGTTATCATTATAAAAAATGTTCTAATATGTTCTATTCCTAAAATAAATGAATAATTATTAACAGCTGATTTCACAAGTCGATTTAACCTAAACTACCATTGAAAACCTGGAAGCATTGGACGGCCGTTTCGTCCTCAGCAGTTTCCAATGGTGGTCTAGCTTGGATTGATTCGTGAATTCAACTGTTGATAATATTATAATCTGCACAAATCCTCTCAATGAGAATAATTATTATTTGATTATCAATTGAATGATGTCTATTTTCAAAATAAATAAAACAAACATACCTTTAATAGGAGGTGATAACATTGAAATAATATGTTCTTTAGATATTAATGGAAATATATTTAGTATTGCAACATCTTGACATAAATTTGTATGAATACAAAATGGTTTATGTAATCCAGGTTTTCGAAAAATTAAATCATAATTAACGGTTATTTCAGTTCCTAATTCAGCAATCGGTGGATAATTTGGTGACACAAATGCATCAAAATTATTACTTGAACATTTTACTATTCTAGAGCCACGAAATAACTAAATTAATAGGAAAATAAGTCAATTAAAAATCAATAAAAAAGAAAATAATATATAAACAATACAGAAAAATCTGTCATAGGATGTTTCCATAGTTATTATCAAATTAATTAACAATAGGCTTCATGAATTATTTATAAAATTTTTAATTCATATCATGATCTAAGGCTTAAACAATGAACGAAGTTTATTAATCAAATAATTCTGAATAGTTGCTAATTCTATGAAATCAACGTAACAACTAAAAGTATGTTTACTTTATTAAGCGACGAAAGAAAATTATGGAATTCGAAAAAAATTGAGGGGTCAATTAATTTTCTTTGTTTATTTATTAGATAGTATTCATGGAATTTTTAAATAACCCCGTTTGTAAGCTATCTTTGATTCATTAGATGGTGCTATGTCCCTTACTGTTCACTGATTGCGCTTAGTGAATAGTAAATTTATTACAGATTTTCATGCCAGAAATGTTTTAGTTATATAAATAAATACTGTTCTTGGTGTTTTGTGGTCCGGTATTTGAAATTATCTAATTCCATGAAGGTTGCGATTAAAACATACAGTGTACATTATGGGTTTCCTAGTGTTCTAATTTCCTATTTGGGAACCAGTAAATTTCCATATGGGAATCAACAGTTAGTGTATGAGGTATGAGATCTAGTAAACTGTGTTTTTGTTGTAGTTGGAAAACATAATCCCATCCATAGTATTTAAGCAAAGATAAGCAGGTTTCCATAGTACTAGACTACACGTAGCTGTAAGTTATATGAAAAATCCTAAGATGATCACTTTTATAGTTTATGTTGATTTACTATAAACCAGTTTAGGATTTCACAAATTGAATACAATTAATCGTTAATTAAAATAACCCATATTGTCATTGAATAAGAAAAAGAAAAATCAGCGAAGAAGATTTTCTTTTCGACGAAATCATTTACTTAAGCTGTACATTCGTATATATAGTTATATGGAAAATATATGTCTATAGAGGGATAGAAAGGATTGTATCACAAAAATGACCTTTATTGTTTGTCGTTTTTCTTCGTATCTGTCATTTGGACTATTATCTGACCCATAAATTCTGTTCTCTCTTAGCCCTTGATTAGTACGTTAACCTCATTTGTTGTTTAATCTCGAATCCATTATTGTGATACAGTCCTTTCTATCCTTCTATAGACATACATTTTCCATATAACTATATATACGAATGTACAGCTTAAGTAAATGATTTCGTCGAAAAGAAAATCTTCGCTGATTTCCCTTCTTCTTAATCGTTAATTTAAACAAAATAAAACAATAGTTTAACTCGGAACTAAATAGTATTTAGATTTCTTCCTTGCCCCAGTTGTAATATCCATTTTGTTACACGTTATTCCACAATTAAATAATAGCAAATCTAATCTGGTCTAAAGTGTGTGATAACAAAACTACTGCTAAGCTAATGTTGTTGACATGAAAACAGTTTATAGCTTGTAAATTAAAGACTACATTCCGAGTTCATTCTTTACTGAGTTGATCTATATTGGTCTGTAGTTTCATTTAATTTAAACAACACAAAATTCTAAATGTTTAGAATTTCGTCGAACACATTGTATACTAAAGCTATAAGTTATGATTGGGTTTTGGATATCAGTTACCGGTGAATACTACAAATCGTTCTTCAACCTATTTTGGAATTTTCTGTTGGTTGTACTTCAATAGGTGTTGATATTCAAACTAAAACTTGACTCTAGTACCAATCTCATATAACACCAGCGCGACTTAACCAGGACACTTGCCACCTTTTCATCTAGAATATGTTTAAGCAGACACAGATGGTGGGATCCAGGACGCGCATTTCGTCCTAGTTGGAACTCGTCAGCTGGATGTGTTGTGAATGGGAACACAGGTGGGCACATCCTGTTGTATTTCCAACATAAAATTACAGAATATCTTGATATAACATAAAAGCCATACACTGAATACTTCATTTGCAAGTTTATTTCATTTGTCCTTCACATTCTATGTGACTCTTCCTGTTCAAAATTCCTTTATATTTTCACTTCTGTTCTCTTCAACTCGAACTTTTAGCTTTCTGCTGCAAGGCCCCTCACTTCCTATTGGTGTTACATACTACTTATGTCTGTCGACATACGACACAGTTGTACCTGGATCCCAGAAGTGATATTCACTCTGGGACTGGAACTTAGTACTATTTGCTTCAAACATTGTCGCGTTGCCCATTTAGCCATTGAGTCCAAATAGCAACTAGTTAGTGCAATGTGATGAATTTTAATTCATATGTATTGGGTTTTTTAATCTTCAGATTGATGTTTTGGACTGCAATAGGAGGAAACACGTGTTTTCAGTTCCACTGCTGGCCACCATCCCATTAAGCATCGAGTGATTTTTCAAAAAAAATGGTTTTGTTGTTGATAATAACAGTACTAGTGTTTTATTTACTTTGGTTCTTGTAATTAAGTAGATAATCTTTGAAATTACATTACAGTAGCTAAATACATCAATCCATAATTAACATCACATGATAATTATTATGATAACTATTAATCGTGACACAATAGATAAATAACCTAATAGTTGCCCCCAAATGCCCTGGTACGGCCGAGAGTGGGGAGAGTCCGCTCTCCCTCTTGAAATACTCTCACATGGACACGCTTATACAGCCTCTGCCAGGAAAGTTCTACTCACTACCTTCTCGTGACGGGGGTGTTGTTTACGAAATTGAGAGGACAAAATGCGAATGTCCGGCGCTTTAAACGGATTCCAAACCAATGGTGCACATGGGCTCCAGTATCCTGCGGGAACGAATGGCGTATGAACCAATCGTTGATCACCGGCTGCCATGGGACTGCATCTCCTTACGATGCTCCACTATCTTGTGAATCAGACCCTCAGGTCGAAGGCTCGGAGAGTGGCCCCATAAGAAAACCACCTGCTTCGGTTTGGGCACCTGGGCAGTATCACAGCCCTCACACATATCGAATGAGATTTGTGTGGCGCATATGTATTTGGTGCCTCCTTGTACCAATATCTATGTGTTAAAATATATAAAAATATATAATAACTTAATAGTTAGATGGACAACACTGACCACGGACATCAGGTTTACATCTGTTTCCTTAATGCAAATGAATATGTGTATAAATTATAGGATTCAGTCAAATCGTCTGATGATTCCATAAAGAATGATACCTTCCTATTTCCTTGTTTTTATGGACACAACTTCTGAGGAGTCCCACACTAGGACGAAACGACCATCCAGTGCTTTCAGATTTTCAATGGTGGTCTCACATTGATTGGTCAATAACCCTAATATAAACCACTAGAATACCTAGATTGTAATTTTTTAATGTTTATCATTTTATGAAAAATGAAACCTACTTTATCATGAAATAACACTGTGACTTCACAAATTGCATAATTTCCACCAGCGATCATTAATGCACCAAGAAAATTATTCCATCCATCACTACGAAATTCGAATACCGGTAATTGTGCTCCAGTTAAAACAACTGGTTTATCTAAATTCTCTAACATAAATGATAAAGCTGATGCTGTATAAGCAAGTGTATCTGTCCCATGTAATACAACAAATCCATCGAATTCATTATAAAATGCGTAAATATCTTGTGCTATACGCTTCCATTCATTCATACTCAAATCAGATGAATCTAATAATGGCCAATATTCTACAACTGTATATAAAATACGATGTCCAGTTTTATCAATAGGTAAAGCATAAGTTTGTATATGGTCTGATTCAGTTAAACTGGATTCACGTTTTGAAAATTTTGAATGAGTACTACGTGTATGAGGTGAAACGTTAGTTTTTGATAGTCTGTGATGTAGGTGTTCAATGTTAAATTGGTTTATATGAACCTGAAATCTAAGCAGCAAAATAATAATAATAATAATATTGAGAATAATAAGACATTATGTGACAACGTAAAATTCATAATATAAAACAATCTATGTGCAAACGATTAAAGATGTTAAAAAAACATTTTTAACAATAAACATTTCAGTCAAATAATTCAGGTGTCTTGGTTTGTGTACTAATGGAATTTAAATTCAAGTACAATAACGCATTTACATTTTCGAAAAGAGTAACACTTATGATCGAATGATAAATATAAATGTAAAATTAAATACACTTGTGTTAAAAAAGCGGGTATGCTCGGGTTAGAATCTAAGTTACAACCAAATGTCTTACTCTGGTAAAAGTGCTGGAAACACTTTATGATAAACTGTTCATACTGCATTTAGTCACAACTTATCGTCATTCAATTTCTAGTCACCAAAAATCACAACCCACCTTAAAGTAGTTATTTAAGGTAACGATGGTGATGTCAATCGTTGTACGACAACATAAAGCGTGATTTTTATTATTTGCCTTGGTTTCAATCGTTAGAACAATACACCGGAAAGCTAATCAAGGTAAGTCTTAAGCTCCAAAACTATTGCTCTAAACATCAGGGTGCATAATAACAGTTTATTAAGTAATTATCTTCAGATATTTCCATATTATTGGTTCAGTAAGCAAAAATATTTAGTTTCCCTTACACATAGAAACAATTAACTGCATAATGATGGACATAAACAGCTTCGTTACCAATGTTCCTAGTTTGTGGAAAACGTTTTGTACTCAAAATATAACTCAACAAGTTGGTTGATTGAACTATTTTGAACATATATTAATCACCTTTCAAATAATGACATTCTTGGGATTTTAGTTTAAAATGAACTGTCTGGCATTTGTATGATATTATGTACAAAGATTGTTGGCTTTCATGTACACGAATGGAGAGACATCAGAAATAACCGCAAAACATAGAATGTAACTTTATCAAAATCATTACACAATCATAACCTTGAAACAAAAATTCCATTAATTTGATTTTGAGCTAGATCAGATGTATGTACGACTAACTAGTCTTAAATCAAAACAAAAATTGACCACAAAGCTTTACAATTTAATTATCCTTCATAACGTGAAATCAAACCAGTTTTGCTTTCCTAAAAAAAGAAACTGTCTTACTCCGAATCACAAAATGTAGGCATCTTGTATAGGGTAGAAAGAAAAAAGTTTTCCACAGAACAATAAGAACCATTTACACATTTCATTCCAATAGTACCACCGGTGTATAAAACAAGAACCCGGGAAACAGATAAACATTTCGGAATTTTCAATGCAAGATCAACCAATGACTGATCAATGATTGGGCTTCCCAAAAAACTGGCCTGAAGAAAAAAACAAAGGAACATAAACACGAAGAACAATATATTAACTGCAAAAATATTTTTTTCTGTCGAACTGTTAATATTTATTTATTCATCTCTACGAGTAAAAGATACAACATCCGAGAAATTACAGAGAAGACTAAATATCATTTACTGTTATATCTGTGACCACAAACTACAATGCTAAAATCTTTTTCTTTACTCTATTTATGCTTAGTTGGAGCTGAAATTCAGAACGAAAACGAGATCAAAATTCTTTGTATATAACTTAGAGATCATAAACAACCGTCCAAATAATTCATTTCCTCTCGATGGGCATTTTTAAGACTGTTTTGGTTCCAGATGCTTAGTTTTTATTAAACTATGGACGACTTAGAGACTCATTGTTTATCGATGATCGCAACCAAAACACATTTTACGACAAATATCTGTCGTAGGAAAATAGCAGAAATACATCAGAAACATTTCTTATTATTTATATATAAAACTTCTAAAAAGAAATATTTGGATAGGCGTTTTTATACTCATAGATCTCAGGAGTGTTTTTCTAACTAAAGTAGATCAATCTATATTTACTCTCTGATAAACGTAACAGTTATCCTTCCATTCAATTAAACTAGCTCAGCATTAAACAAACAATCATTGCTTTCATATGCAATCAAGTACTAAAATATCGCACATTGTCAAGACCTTAAAGGTAATGATAGAAATATATTATAGTAACTTGGTGTTAATCAACAATTACAGGATTGTTAGAATAGGAATTTGTGGGGATTGAAGTAATTTTAATAGTTGAATTCATGAGTCTAGACCACCATTGAAAATCTGGAAGGCTGTTTCATTATTAATGTCTAGTTGAAGTCGACCCTTCGTCCATTATCTGAAGTTGATAACTGTCTCCACGCGACACGGATTCGACTTCTCACTAGAACTCCAGGAAATTCATCTTTAGGCCAGTCATTAGTGACATTGATACAGTTGGATGCCGACTCAGTGGTCTCGAGGTTAGACGTTCGAGTGCGAGACTGAAGGTCCTGTGTTCGGTTCCCGTGTGTAGGAGATCGTGGATGCGCACTTCCAGTGAGTCCCATACTAGTACTAGACGGTCATCCAGTGCTTCCGAGTTTCCAGTAGTGGTCTAGCTTAGATCGACTCATGAATCCCATTATTAAAATTACAGGATTGTTGTTTTCTTAATCCCATACCCACCTATAACGTACAGGTAGCGTAACACCATTTATTAGGTGTACTAGTCCAGTATAACTGAAGAGTGGTTTTTTATACCCAAAATCATAGCTATAAATGTGCACTCATCCCATGAAAAAGTCATTTTTGTTTGACTCGCACTTAAAGACTGTCTTACTGACATCAATCAATTAATGAAAAAAACACTGTGAGTAAAAGTTTATAGATTAACAGATAAACTCACCACACCATCACTCAACTCCTCAGTTTTGTTTATTGTGGTAGATTTTCTTGTATCCTGCAAAGAGCTGCAAACTAGAAAAACGTTTTTATTGTCAAAGTAACAAAACCTAACTCTATAGATTAAAAATAGTTGTATTTACATGGGCTAATTATTATATCACATATCATAACCACAAACTGTGAGTTATGAGTATAGTGTATCTTATAAAACTCAGAAGGTAGATTAAATGTATACCATGGTTGAATCCCACATAATTGTTTCAAGTCAGTTAGATTTTCCACAAGACTCGACTGGGGCTTGAACGATATTTAAAAAATTTAACAGAATAAAGCTCAGGTAGTGTTATCACTTCTCATAGCTTGTCAAGTTTCACCATAAAATAACCAGTTATTTTTAACTTCACACGATTTCGAACAAATCGTTGTTAGTTTATCTTTTACTGATGACTTTCTGATCATTAATGGAGTACTTTTATACATGGTCAACTGATCATACTTTGAACCAGATCAAGTTTTATCTATGATCAACTTAAAATTAGGCTGATATTATTTCTCACACTATATTTAGACTATTTACAATATTTTTGGAGTTGCATGAGGCGACTAACATACGTGCAAAAATAGTCCCGTTTCACTCAGATTTTGACTACAAGTACAGGACTCTAACCTTGAAGTAGTGTCAACGAAATCATTTGTATTTTTAATCTTCATCGACGTGAAGCGGGATGTAATTTCAAATCATGCAGTTTTACTTGAAATTTTAGGTAAAAACAATGCATTTTTAATTTTTCCACGAAGTTTCGAACATGAAAACCGAAGACTTAAAGCAGTTACTGGTTCAGCGAAATTCAATAAAAATGATCAAAATGGTTAGACATGAACGGTCAGACAATAGTAAGTGAAGTAATATAAATACATAAATATTGGAAATTATATATTGATACTAAACATGAATCTTTTTTTAAAGATCGATTAACTTTGATTTCAAAGCTATGTAGACAATGAACATAGTAAACTTATTTTCCCGATCTAATAAAGATGAGCTTAGCACATGAAATATTTAGGATTAACTCATGACACAATTTGCAGACAAGACAAAGCATATATTTGTTCAGTATTTTCGGTCCAGTCAAGTTAAACAGACTGTAGTATACATTTTTATTTACATACATCTGAAATGACTTTTGATGGTGTATGGGAAATGTGCTAACAAAATAGGTAAAATTATTTCAGAGTTAAAGATTCAGATTCATAATTTCAGGTTTCAGAAAACGTCAGTGTGAACGTTTACGCATCCCAAGTATCATGAGGAGGGAAAGCTGTGATAGAGTAAGATTTACGGGAATAAAGTTTCTTTTACGTTACTATATTGAACTCCCATATTAAAGATTCCGTTTCACAAGCCAACTGCAGACTATAAATAAAGTCTAAAAGGCTCACCGTAGTCTCACACAAAAAGTAAAGGACTGATTGATAACCTGTTTACTTACTAATATTAATTAAAGGAATATTAAATAAAGGTTAAATCATCTCTGTATAACATAAAAAAGCTGGAAGATCTGTGATAGCGACAAAAATATGATTCAAACATTTTCAATCACTAACACTCACTACAATATTTTGTTTGATTTCAAAATTTTATTTTCTCGCCTGAAATATCGCTTTGATACGATATAGTTTGTTTTTTAAAGTAAAAAGCTTTAATGCAAAAACAATTACCATGATAGTTTAATTGATTAACCTTTGTTAATTAATCCACATGTGTAGTATACATTTATTTTACGTGGGTATACTTCATTCGTATATCTGAACGTCATATGCTTGCATCAGTTTATCATAGCTGTTGTTATTTGTCAGCTAAAGTAATTATGGGCGTCGTAATATATTTTATCTCTTTTTCTATGATAAATATATTTTATTAAGCTGAAAGAAAATACATATAAACAGAACTGACTTGATCCCCATAAACTGGGTCTAACAACTAGGTCTTAACTGATTGCAGAGTGAGTGACCTACAAAACTGGTTTTCTCTTATCGTCAACAGTAAAATATCATGTTTACTTTACGTCAATAATGTTGTGATTTGCGGTGTCTGAAATCTGATACTGACACACTGTATGCTATGCAACAACCCCTCCCCTCGAACTGATTACTTAAGCGAGAAAGTGTATTGGACTACCGGATAAAATGCATAAATACTCATTCATACATATACCACTCTATGCCTAGGAAGTTGATCCAATGAAATGCACTTGACCTTTGGGTCACGTCGGATTGTCATCGATTGACATTTTTTACTTCTGATTGGCTTTCTGTGTCAATCAATTAACATATAGTCACATCATTTTCTTAGAAAAAACGTATTCATCTTGGTAGCAATCTTGTTTTCTGACACCAGTTTATTAGGAGCTTATAATGACGACTTCGTCTCGTGATCAATCGAACAAAACATATCACTGGATATTAACTTTCGATTAGCATTCTCTTATTTTATTTCAACAATTAAAAATTCATTAATAAAATCGTTAAATCCTACGCAACAAAAACGACTACGAGATTAAAACATCCACTGTTTTGGGTAAGTAGAAGCCATAATGGATTCGATCGATGTAGTCACATATAAAACTTCTTTAAGTGATTATAAATGAATCGAAATTTTAAAATTGATAAATTATCAAGTCAGATTCAATGACAGACCATAGGAATGCACCATATGATAAATATTTCGGTCCATACGAAAGTGTCATGATTACAAGAAATGATATAAAAAAGCTAATTAAGAGTATCGAAGTTCGCGCGTTTTTACATTCAGTCGAAGCACTACAGCATGTATTTCTAGAAAACTATTCGAACCCAACTCTAGAATTTTTAAACATGGCATTTCAATATATAGTCGGGCTTACAGAGTATTCATCTGATCAGCCCTCATAAGACATGAATAGGAAACAATTAGTAAGAACCACTGAATCTCAGTTACACCATACAGGCATCACGGTCTCTATAACCTTAGAATTCGTCTCATGTGACGAATATTCAATCTCAGAAGAAAAAAAATCAAAAAGCCATTTCCATTGAGCAAAAAAACAATGACAAAAGAGCATTTTAAATTTGATGTACACGGTGCAGCTGCAGTCTGTGGATGAGACGGAAAAAGGATTTCACTTTAAATAGGAGAAAATGTTCGACAAGTCAAAGGTTTCACTGTTTTATCGACGTTGCCGAATCGAAATGATTCCAAAGGACCACTCATAGCTAATTTTTTTAAATTGACTTGAGGGTAAAGGACCTACAACACTGATTTGTCTACATCTCGTTGTTGCATGATTTTATATGAAGATCCTTTTAAGATCCTAATATATCAAAGTTAATATAAATGAACATCAGTATCTAGAGATCTTCGTTCAACCGATAATCTAACGTCGTATTCATACATTGAAAATATTCTGCCCAAACACCGAAGTTTTATGACCTCAAATGTTGTTTCGCAAGGTAAGTTAACCAATTTAGCCCACAAATAGAAGAAAGCAATCCGCTTCTTGCAATTAGTTCCCTTTATGAACTTACATAAAGCAAGAACAAATATTGATGTAGAATGGTATGAATTCGTAATATTTCGAGGTTTCTCGTCAGCTGCTTACAACCAAATATGTAATATAATTTTACATTGAGATAAGAAATAGTGTGAAACAATTGACATAAATGAATGTAAATGGTTGGAATGACAAAGATCTACAATAATAATAATAATAATAATAATAATAATAATAATAATAATAATAATAATAATAATAATGATTATTAGTTGAGTGGAGTTCGTAAATTGTGTAATAATTTTAGAGGTAGTGAAGGATTCATGGAATTAAACAGTGATAAGATAGGTTACGTAATAACTGGATAGAGTTTGAAAAGTTAACATAATTTAAGAGGGTAAGTGGGCGGAAATGTGTGAATGAATAGTTGGTTTAAGAATTCGGTAATGGGGGAGGGATATAACACAAAATAAATATTTTAAAAATAAATAAATGAATAAACTAACACAAATAACCAAAAAACAATAAAAAAAAATAAAAATGGATTACCAGGGTAATAATAAGTTTACTAATGTCTCTTTTTGAATACATAAATCTGGATTAAGTTTTTTATCGCTATCGCTTCAGCAAAACGGAGAGCAGTCATATTTCTTTGTTTGCTGATAATTTTAAGAGCGTGCGAAATGTCAATGGTATGTCCGATGTCAAGTAAATGCTGAGTTATTGCACTGTTGAGAGCCCTAGTCCCTCGCAGCCTCAAGTTTTTTGGAACATGCTCAGAAATATGAACATGTACTCTTCTCTCATTTCTTTCAATGTATGTGCCGTAACACATACATATGAATTGGTAAATGCAGTTGGAGCTACTGAGAAAAGATGACTTGTCGATTTTAGTTTTTTTTTGAGCTAGCAGTTCGTTTCCCATAACGTTGTCAGTTTGGCTGCTGGGTAGGTCACTTTCAACGCGGAATTTATTCTGTGATTGATTATTCCAGTGACTTCATCTCCTTTGGAGCGCAAGTATAAGAAGCAGGTGTATGTGTTTTGGGTAGCCCATATAAGTATGGCATCCCTATAAGACCAACATTATCTATGGCCAAATCACCCTTTCATAAACTTGCCCATTGGCTGACTAGATGCTTAGAACCAATCCGCAAGAAACTAGCAACCTACAGTTTGAAAGACAGCTTTGAATTTGTACAAAAACTTGATAACCTTAATGTCTCTGACAAATTCATGGTTTCATTTGATGTCTCTTCGCTTTTCACAAATATCCCCTTGGAAGAAACGGCAGAGATCATATGTGAATATCCAGAACTCCTGCCCTTATCAACCCAGGAATTTAAACAGCTCCTGTTTTTGTGTACAAAAAACATACAATTTAAATTTGACAATGTTCTGTACCGCCAGATTGATGGAGTAGCAATGGGCAGCCCTCTGGGCCCAATTCTTGCCGACATATGTATGGGACATCTGGAACAAAAGAAACTTAAGCACCCAATCGACAGTACCACACTCTACTGCAGATATATGGATGACACG